CACTGAGCTCATGACGTAGACCATCCACCATTTGTTGTTCCAGGGCTTCAGTTTAGCTCGCGCCATTTGGCCGCGCAGCGAGAAGTAGTTGAATTCAAAGCAGGCGAACTTCATGTTCTGGCTGCTTTCAATGATGGGCTCCGTACCACAGTACAACGCCAGCTTGCAATCCTCAGAACAAACGTCCCAAAAGGGTAGAAGCCACATCATGATGCAGACGTGCGGCCTGGCAATCTCTACACCGATATTGCTGGCCTTTCTGCATGTTGACTCAGGTGCCAGGACTCAGTGGAGCTCAACATGAAACTCCAACTTAGGCTCCCACAAGCGATTACAAAGCCTCAGCATGCTTGGGTGTCAGACATGTGTGAGCTTCCTGGTAGACCACTGCGGCTCAGCTGCTACAATTCGTGCAGTTGCGGATGAACACGCTCGTCTCCACCGGTCCGATGAAGACCCTGCCTCACAGAATCCAACGCTTACTGTCCGTACCAGCAAACGAGCAGCAAGAGGCAAGCGGCGGCAAATGAGTTTCAGGCAATCATGGCAGTCGTCAACGAAGCTGGTGGCGATCGTGTCCTAAATCAACTCACATGGCGCCAGCTGGCTGATTTAGCTTCGATTGTGATCCCGGCATCCATGATCCCACTAGTACAGACTGCCGAGGCTCAAAGAGAAAGATGTCGCAGTTTTTGCCTTAGTTGCCAGCATGCCGGTCAAGCAGTGACACTGCAACATCAGGGTTCTTTGCCAAAACTTACCAGCGACCCAATAAAACATTCACGTACATACAAGTCTTACACTTTTCGGTGGGCTCGTCCCATATTACCCCATGTTCCGGGGATGTCTCCACAGCTAACTACATTCATGGGCCCCCCTATACTAACCCTGCTAGGGTTGCCCTTAATACGCCTTGATTAGCATTACTTAGCCCTAATTATCAATTAATAAACCTAATTAAGGGGAACCTTGGAGTATAGAGGGGGTTTGAAAGGGAAACCATGATGTAATGGTCCCTAGGACAGGTTCTCCCTCGAGCTCCTTGAAAGGTTGTTTAGAGCCCTCTGTCACTGCTGACTGGGCACATTCCTCGATATTGAACTGCTCACCATTGATGGCGCCTTCCTTCAAAACAAGATACTTGCATGAAGCGCTCAACTACACACAGAAGCCCCTAACAGTCAAGATATTACTGCCCCTGTACTTCCTAGAGCAAAATAGTACTGTGTGTACGGTGCACGCATGCAGCAACCTCGACCATGGCACAGGTTCCCGCGCTGTGTCCGCTTCTGAGATCGCTTCCCTGAATAATCAAATGCATCTGTACTTCCCCCCTCTCGAATGATCCAGAAGATGTAACACTATACTAGAAGGGGCATTGGTTGAACGACTTATATGGGTCTTATTCGATTCTATGGAAGAAACATTGTCCGCGTAGGAAACAAGGACGACCTTTGCAGATTCGTTCTAGATTTTCTGTAAGAACGATCAGAACATATTAAGGAGAAATGAGGAAGTCCCACTTAATTCGAGGGTGGATCCCCTTAAACTTTAGACTCTTGTACTCATATTCCCGTATAAGACTTTCCAGAACAATTTAAGTTTGGAAAGCCATAAACCCCTAAGGATAATTCAAATTCTTCTGACCAAGCTTGTCTCACTTCGAATTTCCAAGGGTGTAAAAAACTCACGCAATCGACATATTCTTGAAGCTTCCTATCCTGTGTGATTCCTTCTAATGGCCCCTTGGCCCTGTGTAACACCCATCATGTCATCATTCATGTCTTCTAGGGTAAACTCCCACAAGCATCAAGGAGCTAGTTTTTGGATACTTGCTTGCAGAATACGCAATCCCTGCAAGCCTTCAAATGATATTCCCACCCAAAAATTGGCCAGTGAGAAACTCCAGACGTGCCAGCCAGCCTCCTTAATGAGGACTACGTCAGTTTGTTTCGAAAAAACATAGTCCTCAGCAAGACCGGACAAGTTAAGGATCATGCGTGAATTCTGTAGGAGCGTTGGGGGTCGATGCGCCACGTTTAGATTGAGAGGGGTGCATCCATCCACTCCTTCTCCGCCAGGGGAGGTCCTGACCATCTAGGACTTGGAGATCTGCTTCATCTAGAGCATACGCCTTCGCATAAATGTGAAAGGACTGCAAGAGATGAAGAGGATTTATAAGATTCCAGGTTCTCTGCCAGTGATACATACATGACTCAACACAGTCTTGATTGGCACCGGTGTTTCTCAAAGAACTGGTACCTTAGTGACCCTAATGGTAATTAGTTGGGAACTACAACGTGGACTATGAGGATCTCTGCCACGTAAACTACCCTAAATAGGGGACATGATGAGAAACACCTACATTGCTTTCTCATGTCATGCGACCGGCCCACTGTGAGCAGCTGAGCGCAGGTCTTTTGGATCGAGGTTCTTCTTTTTGACCTGCGTTGTGGCTTCTCAGTTTTTGAGGGGACTAGGGGCCATGGTTTCTTTGTTTGGTAGGGATATCTCTAGGATATAACTGCAAGCCACACGGCTTTTTCAGAGACATATATATATATATGTATATAAAGGTAGAAATGCGCAGAGATGAAGCAGTGATATGAATGATTTGCTTGATGTGGTCCCTCTACTACAGTAAGGACCATATTCGTTTTGAGGCGATGATCGACACTACTTCTGAAAATCGCAAAGAAGTGCAAGCAATGTGTGAAGCACAGGAAGCGCAACTTAGGGGCCTACTTGGAGGTCAATGGGAATGTGGGGTTGCAAGTGGGTGTATAAACAGGCAATAAGTACCTGTAGGCATTGGCCTTTTAGCTCCACTTGAAATGACCTGCGAGCCTGTTGGAAACTCATAGGACATGACACATGGTATCCCTGTCCGCCTACTTTGAAAGTCAAAAGCTCCTAAAGACTGGATGAAGGCCTCTTCGCTTCCTCCATCCCTACCTCCTTATGATTTCACTACGTCAAGCTTCTGGCATGCAACATCCTGCAAAATCTCAGGGGAAGATGCAGGAAAGACGTCGTTTGAAATGATTGCCCCCGAGGACTTGAAGAAGCTGACCAATGTGTACGCGACGGAATCATTTAGGACTTGAGCGTCATGCACCACACTCAGTAGCTCGCCTGCTGCAATCTCCAGGATGTCAGTGCACTTGATGCTGTGTGTAAGAATGCATGCTATGACCTGCTATGAGAACAGGATGGACATTTCCGCATGAAAAAATACAGCAACCTCCGCAGACTACCAACAACAACAGCAATCACAAAGGAGTCAGCACAGACCAATAGCTGTCACCTTGTAGCTACGTCTCAATTTCCCATAGAGCAATTTCTCGAACGTCCTGAGTTAAAAACCCAGAGCCCTGGAGCCGGCCACCCCCAAACCAAGCCAACACTTGCCAGTCTTCCCACCTCCGAAATGTCACAATTTCCACTATCCAAGCACAAATCCCAATAACATGCTAGTTTCCATAAATTGGTGACTCCAATGTAGATCAGTGTGTACTAATAGGATCCTGCTTCTGTGGCCCCGTTTAAACAAGGAAACCTCAAACCCTCACGCCTTGTCTGGCGCTTTCTTCTTGGGTTTGGAGCTGCCTCATGAGAACGATGCAGGCACGAGAAGAGGACATGCGAGGATTTCCAAAAATTGGGGCGCGATCTGAGTAATCAGGACTTTCGGCAAGGCCGAAGATATGTCTATATCTACATGTATAAGTAAGTATGAATAGGTTTATTTGGGCCTCTTGTTTCCGAAACCCTCCATGTATTGCATGACCAATTGTAGAACCAAGCTACACTCTAGCACAAAACGGGCACCACCGCAGCCAAGCGCACAGCAGCAACAACATTAGCGCAATCACAACTTTGAATGTTCTCGGGGTGGATTGGGATAGTAGATTTCATTTTCTGTGTTCTTTTCCATCCTAGGATCTCTTATGAATCATATCCCTAAACTGGCCCTAAACCCTAGTTTGGGTAGTTCCCCAAGTTCGGGTCCCATTTTGGACCCCTGAATATTAGGCGCTGTAGTAGGATCTACAACCAAAAGGGGTCCATAATTTTTAGAACCACGCATGTAACCGCTATATAGCACCCTCAACCTAAATAGTAGCTTCAATTTTCCTTTCCATTATCCCTATATAACCCCTATATAACCCATCTATTATATGAGACAAGGCCGGCCTTTCGCAGCCTTGGAATCGCAACCGCCCATCTTGGGCGCTCGCTCACAGGTCCAGCCTAAAGTCTGGTACGTCCCAGCCCTAGAAATTCTACTGCGCATGCCCACAGTTTTGCAACCCCTGGATAGGTATCCCTTATACACCCACAACCCTATAGGTATCCCTTTTATACCCCCTTGCTGCTCTGAATGCTTCTGGTTCAGGCTGCAAGCCAAAGGCTTCGACAGTATTCCCAGGTGGGTTGCAAGAATCCTAACCTGTGCAAGTTGGGGACTAGTCTGCACACCGGAGTTGATTTAAAGTTCTTTCAAGGAAACTATTTGGGGTTCCGTGCAGGGGAACTTTTCTATCATGACCATTTTGGGAAGAGACATTTTGAGCAACTACCACATGTTGCTACAGGCATGCAGCCGTGTTTTCAGCAATGTGTCCTTTGCCAGACTGCTCACCTTATTCGACATCCCGCAACAATGATCGGGTGCAATGCCTTGCAGTCAAGCCGAGGTATGAAACCCGGAGATCCTTCCCTCGTGGAACTTGCTACAAGTAGGAGGCTCTGACGATGAGCATCGTGGCTCTAGCAAGATCGCGCCCCAGCACGTGTCCAAATTGCCGTGCTTGTGGTCCTGCGGTGTTGGGATCGGCTGGGGACATCTGGCCAGACGAAGCACGACAACTGCCAGTCCGACTGCATCAACTTCCAACTGGCGACGTTTTTCTACCCTGGCGTTGCCTTGATCTTGGCCTCGCCAATCTGGGCAGGGGAGAAGGTCCACTTGCAATGACCGCACCTGGTGGCAGCACTTAGCCGACAAGGTAGCGTTTCAGATTCTGCCGGCCAGGCGGGACAAACTCCACAACGGCTGAGGCGGTGAGCTTCGTCATCTTTTTAGTAAGCTTCTTAGGAAGGGACCTAGGAATGTAGGAGCCATCTGTAGGGGGATGCAGCCATATGCGGGAGTCCAACCAGTCGCTTCCTCCTTCAGGGAAGTAGGGCTGCTTTCGCCTAACACAAGCTATGGTCCACTTGTTAATGATGAGCTCATTCTGGTGGAAGCCTCGCTGTTCCAGAGAATGACGCAACTGGGGCCTAGCAGCAAGGGCCCGTTCCCAGCTTGCGACAAAAGTGGCCCTCCAGGCACACTCAAAATAAACATCTACCAGGGCCATGAGGTCGCCAAGGCGTACGCGATTTGTGTTCGTGTAATTGAAGACCCAGCTCGTTGGCTCCAGATGCTTCCAGAAAACCACACCGTTTTCCGCTACATTCTTGCTGTTGTAATCTTCCGGGTACCTGGGCTTCTGGTGATGGCCATCAAAACCATAGTAGTTGTGATGTTTCAGGGCCAGAAGTTGCTCGGGCTTCGTCCACTCAAAAATGCCCTCGATGACCTGATGATTGCCAACATCAGGGGAGCATGTTTTAGGTGACTCTGTAATCTCCATAATACAGAGTACGTACTTTGAGGTGCATAATACTTGCAAATATGAACACATTTGACCGTATGAGCCTAACCTCCCGACGCTTGAAAATCCCCACCTGCCGGTTGTCAGGCAGGTGCTCTGTGACCAGCCACAGAGTGGCAACGTCGAAGCTGCCAGGCTGGATCAGACCAGTTGGGCGCAATGTTGCAAATGTGCCAGGTAGCAAGACGATCTTCCCTCAGCAGGTGAAGCGTGTGGGCAAGCGGATTAAGGTTTGTTCAGGGCTTGCAGTTTTCAGGCTTCGGACAGGTCAGACATTAAGGCCCAAGGCTCCTTTGAAGGCTTGCATCATCTCAAGTCCTGTAAACGGAAAGCCGCGGTACTTCTTGGACATCAGCGCCGTGCAGTGCCGGAACATTTCGCAGGCCTCACCCTTTCCCTTGCAGGCTGCAGAGTCTCTCACCATCTCACACTCGATAGGATTTGGAGCTCGGCCTACTCTCTTATCTCGCGTCATGGCGTTGCGGTTGATGCAGAGGGCGGGGTCCATTCCTTTGTAGGATTTCACGCCAACGTGCATGGCCACGACGCCCATTGGTCCTTGGCCCATGCCAATATCCAGAAGGTTGAGGCCCTTGAAGGGCCGGTAGCTGTAGGCTTGCTGATCATAGCCCCATTCGCGTGTTGCCTTCCAAATCTTGGACTTCAGTTCCGTGGCTTCGTTCACAGGAAGACTGGGTGGCAGAGTTGGACCAGAACAGGACGCAGCAGTGGTCTCCTCTGGGCCCAAGCTTTCTGTCTCGTCCTCTTCGGACTTCCTGTCTTCCACAGGTTGCTCTTCATCCTCCTTGCCAACCTGAGGAAGATCTTGCAAGGGCGCAGTTGTGAGAAGTGTTTCTGTCCCGGGCATCTGGTCAGCCAGGATTCCTCCTCTTTGCTCACCCAGCTTAGCCTCCGCCTCGAGTTTTGCTTCAAGGTCCAGGGTTGTCGGCTCGTCGGCAACGGGATCTAGCTGAGAGAAGGACACGCTGTAGATCCCGTACAGCCCCAGTGCCAGGATGACGGACAGAGCCCAACGTTGCGTGGCCATGGCTCGGGCCCCGCTGACTGTGAGGTCTAGATTCTTGGGGGGTTTGGGGGTGTAGGTCTGCGACAGCCTAAACTCTTTGACCCCGCCTCCTGGGCAAGACGGCCTTTCAAATCACCATGCCTGACAGGATAATCCTGAAGGTACAAAATGGAGATCCCTGTCGCTCATCATATTGTGGCGCCTCTATAGATTTCTCACAAAAGCTGACCTAACTGGTAAACCAGGACTCCTGAATCCGTAGCTAATCCGTGGCCCCCTTGAATGCTCTCCAAGCCATGTGAGGGCGACCCGCCCCCTCGCAGAGACCTCCTCATGGATCTTGAAGTTCAACGCCTTCCCGGACATCCGCAAGAATACAAGGTTGCCGTTGAGGAACTTTTGAATTACTATAATAAAGAATCCCCCATGCCGGGCCCACATTATGGTAACTCAATTTGAATTTCTTAACAGCCTTAACAGCAACCTAGGATACAGCCGAAGTATGGGATCCGAAAAGACAGCCGTTTGAGAAACATGGCTTGGGCTGCGATGGCGGTCATCCCCGATGCTGCTGCTTCAGGTGGTAAAACTGAGTAAATTAGAGTCTTCGTCAGAGATGATCTAAATCTTCGTTAGGAGAGGTCTCTAGACAGCCTCACCCGTCCTGCCGTCCCAGCATGTGTACGTAGTTGGGGCCTTGATTACAGAAGACATGAGATACCTTCGACTAAAAGATGGGAGTTCTTCATATTTCTGGCTCCTTCTAGAAGACCTAGACAATGGGCTCGCAATTTGAGGAACCCCACGAACAAAAGCTAGATAACAAATTTGAAATGGCACGCACGAACCAAATGTGAACCCTGAAGGGAACCCTGCTCTCAGAAACGCCACAGCTCAAGAATGAATAGCTGCTCTTCAAATCAAAGCTGCATCCGACATCAGAGCTGTCATCAGCGCCGTCTACCCGATTGAGCAAATTCGATCAATTCTCTGTCTAATCCCTTTGGGGCCCCACACACAGGGCTTGACTCCATACTTGATGCTCCGGTATTTCTTGCAAGGTTCTGAGCCCCTAGAAGGGGCCCACCCACGATGTCCAGAAGTCCCCGTTCAAATCCGAGAATCCCAGTTTCCATGTCATTCACCATAATCGTTCCATTTGATTTAGCATCATCTCTATAAACCCGTCTCAAGGTAGCAAGGCCCCTAAATTGCAATTTGTATATTACTAGTAATCTTGCACTTATTCGCATTCTTGTTATGAGTATAAGCAGTAGTAGCACTAGCAGCAATAATAGTAGTAGCAGTAGTAGTAGCAGTAGTAGTAGGAGTAGCAGTAGCAGTTGTAGTAATACAATATGAATAATAGTAGTACTAAGGCCAACCCCTCAATTTCGCCTCTTCCAGGGACCGCCTCTTCTCGAGCAACCTCTGAACTTCCTTCGCAGGGCACTACAACGCAGATGAGCTACAGTCTACCCTAAAGGAGGGTTTATACAGGGGACTATATGTAGGGGATTATATATTCTATAGGGGAGTATATATTGTATAGGAGAGCATTATAGGGCTTATTACGGGATACCATGAGTTTAGACTATAGCTCATATGATATAAGATCTGCATCATGTTCATTGCAACTGCCGCGCTCACACCTTGAAATCATACCATCGGCATTGCTGATAGATAAACCTCGCACGATCAAGTACACCCGTATCTATGAACCTGCTTCTGTGAACTCTAAACAAAAAGCTTCAGCCGTCAACCCAAAGTCTAAGATAAGACCTCACCCCAAGCCTAGACTCCCTAATGGGCCTCAACCCCCTTGCAAAACCTAAACCCCATCCCGACCCTCAGCCCTAGCTATACACATTTTTTATGGCTAATTTCTCTGCACCCCAAGCCATGCTAAAATCTGTGCCTGCTGTCGCCGAGGGGAGCCGCAGGAAAGCTGTCTGTGCTCCTTAGCAGACCCCAAATGGCAGAGAATGACTGCATTGAAGGTTGACCTCTGAAGGTATTTCGAAGAATCTTTCCCAAAACATGAGGACGCCTTGGACTGGGAACGAAGAAGCTACTTGCCAGATTGTCATGTCAGAGCTGGGCCGAACTTCGGAAGTTCTTCCAGGTCTCTGGCGATCTCCTTCTGGATGTGGCCTCAGCTGTCAGTCAAGATTTTGTGTGGTCAAGCTCTCCCGGGCACGAACTGGTATGGAAAGCCAAGGTTCAAGAAGCTTCTGAATGTTAGCTGGAATCAAGACGAGAACCCAGTTGTGCAGTGCTGAGATCATGGCGCCTCTGCTGATTTAGCTGCCGAATCTCGAGCAGAGTCTGTTGGAGGACCTGAACATTTTCACGAATCACGTGGTCATGTGACAAGTAAGCCATGCTTGCTACACAAATGGATGCTTCAAGTGTTCCCTGCCATCTCCGCGACGTGCTGAGCAAGTGGCCCTCTGGCTGTTCCGGAGGGTGTGGCGCAGCGTTGGCATCCGATGCCTGAGACATGAGGCCATGGTAGAGCCCTTTTCCATCTTTTTTCTAGTCAGGTTGCAAAGTTTCCTAGATTGCCGTGGTCTAGTTGATGTAAAGGTATCTAGTAGCCATTCCATCGAGCACTCACTCACCCCGAATCAAGGCCCCGGCATCTCACCGCCTGAACTTTGCAGGCTCGCATCCTGTCTGTCCAGACGCGCAGGACAAATATCTGTGGATAGCGTCCAGGATGAAGGTGTGGCTGAAACAGGCCATACATGTTCAATATAACCCCAATATAACCCTAATATAATACAACCCCAATATACTATAGTAGTTTCCGTTATTTTCTATTATCTCATATACAGCGCGATGAAGGGCAACAAACAGCGGACGTGTGCTGGCTCCGCCTTTCGCGAGGATGATCTGGTCATGCCACAGCCTCCGAACACCAAGCGGAACATCTTTCATACACGAAGACAAGGTTGTATGCTATTGTGGTCTTCGTCAAGAAAGCTTCAAGAGCACATAGAGCTTGCCCAGAAGCACGGCGGCATACGCCAAAGTTTTGGCCTCCACGTGCTGTGTTCGGCCTCAGAACCGTCACAGCTGCTCAGTGACGTACTAACTGATGCGGTAGCTCTCATTCTCCTTCCCACAATGCTGTCTTGGACATTACCTCTGTAAAATCACACGCAGATGCTCTGAGACAGAGCGCAGGGAAAACAGTCCAGCTCTTTTCATTCGGTCTGTTTTCGCGGTGGTTTTGAAAGGTGCAGACCCCCGCTGGTACATCTATATTATCGTTAATTACAAGGAATCGCGGACCCAAGTCCATGTGGAAAACTCCTCAACATGGGGTGCAACTCCTTTCCCCTGGTCCCTTCCAACGAAACCTACACAACCCACGTTGTTCCCACGTAGTCCTTCTACCTAATGGCTTAAATGTCTGCCATAGCCTCCCCAAGATGGGCCTTATCTCCTATCGGCGCTGATTTTTCGGGGAAAGCCCATCTGAGCAGCTTCCATTTGATGTTTCACTCTCTTTTCCATTCGACTGTCCATTATTAGGGGTAACATCCCTACAGCACTCCTAAACTAAACCCTAGAAATATCCCTACATAGTCCTCTGAGTTTTCTCGCTGAGGTCTGCTCGCAGGGCCTCCAGGACTCAGCAAGCTGCTCTTCGCCTCGAGGGCCTGCAGCTTTGAAACTCGGCAGATTACTATTATTAGTACTATTATTATTACGATTATTATTACCATTACTATTTTTATTACAATTATTAATTACTATTACTATTACTATTACTATTACTGATGGAACACTTGACCAGAAAGCACTTTATTGAAGCACTCTGTAGGGTATATGGGTTTTGGGTTTAGGGTGTACAGTAGGGCCAAGAGGGATTAGGTTTTAGGATTTAGGGTTTTGGAATTAGATTGGGCTTGTATAGGGCTTTAACGATATTGTCCCAATAATGGAGAACCAAATGAAAAAGCACATGGAAAATGAAATCGAAACTGCAGATTATATAGCGGACCCTATAGGGGTTGACATTTCATACCAGAAGCACGTCATACAGCCATAATAAGATTGGGGTACACACACTACGGGAGGTACCCGTGTCCCTGAATGAAGCCAATATTGACAGTAGCTCTCATGACAGCTAAGAGAGAAGTGGTGGGTCTAGGATAATCTCCTTGAGGTCCTGGAAGGTCTCCCGCAACAAATTGTATGGAGAGTCGGGGTTCTCTTGGGCTCTCACCTCATCTGGCAAAGACGGCAGAAGGTGCAACCTCGGGAGGCAGGATGAGGCAGGCGAAGCAGGGGCCAGATATTTTGATCTCATGTCCCTAACCGCGCAAGGTAAACATTCCATAAGGGGGGGGGAGGGGGGGGCAGTATGCGTTAGCTTTTTCCATCTGTGATCAGCGAGAGGGACCCTCCATATTACTTTTTTGCAAGGATTGCAAAGCACTCTTTGCACAGATCCCTTTAGGCTGCAGCCGGCTGTTCCTTCTTGGCCCCAGTCGTTCGTGGGCCGCCTCATGCTGCCTCACAGGTAGGCTTCTGTAGGTCCCACATGCCGCTCCTAAGTTATTACAGCGTCTTATGGGAGTCCTCACTGGAGTACTATGCAAACTATAGCCACCTGAGAACTACCCGCTTGAAAAATGGAATTCTATTACAGTGAGGCGGGCATTACAACCTTGAGCAGCAAGGATGCCAAGTGCCAAGGAAGAAGCTAGTAGAGAGAGGCAACTTTTCATTCTTGGTGACACGTTCGGATCTTGAAGCCGAAGTGAAACTTCAGAAGCACAGCAGGCCTGACTGGACTGCATTTGCAGCCAGTTCGGCTGGCGTCGATGCTCCAGTGATACGACATCTTAAGGGTTATCGCGAGAAAGTGTAATTTCTCCAGAACAGGCAATAATAGAAATAATAGTAATGATAGCCATATCAATGATACTAATCATAAGAGTAATATCAATGGGGTAGCCTTGAACTACATAGACACCCACCTCAACCACAAGCACCAGGCAATGAAACGAAACCCTCACAGGATTCAGAACGTATTCAGTCGCAGGACCCACCCTTCGGGTGGAGCCGCAGCATCCTTGCCATGGCCCAAATTCTGACCCAGGTTCAGGAGGGGCTTCCTCTCTTTCTCCTTGAGCAGCTCGGGCCTCTTCATGCCCAATTCTGCAGCAGCTGGGGTACCTAAGCCAGACTTGGAGGGTCTATGAATAAGTCGTCATGCTCAGATACTCTCAAACTCTGGAACCATGTAGTTGAGGTGGCGTATACTATAGGCACAAAGCACTTAAAGCAGTACTGTGGTAATTCGATCTCAGGTACATCTCAGGAGGAGGTCGGCACCCCGGGGCCCGAAAGGCTGGATGGCCTCCAGCACGTCAGCACTGCGGATAGGATTTTCGGAGAGCACAAGGCACCGGAGCTCAGATAGCTTCCGTAAGAAGAAGCTAGGGCTTGGGGAGCCCGCGGCATCTGTGGCTGGTCGCTCCTCCAGCTCATCGACAAGGGGTACAGAGACCCGGCGCTGTCGACCTTGGAATTCGGTGCCTTGTGCCTGGGCCTTCTCTTTTGCATCGGCCACAGATTTTGCAGCCGCCTGCTGCTTGGTGATCCGGTCCCGAGCTGGCGCAACATCCACCTCCTCGAGCTGGGTGGGCTTGAAAGGCTGGCATAGGGCCTGGAGGCCTAAATCCGTGATCCGGTTGCGGCCCAGCCCAAGGTATTCCAGGCCTCGATAAGCATCCAAGGCGTCTGCCAGCAGTTCGGCGCCCCGATCGCAGATGCGGTTCTCCCACCTGCAATTCAGCTCTCTAGGCTTTCCTTCCCTCCTTTGACTCTTCTTTTAAGAAATTCCACTATGAACCCCATAGTATCCCTACAATACCGCATGAAGGCACATATGATCACCGCACTCAACTCGAAAACCTAAACTAGAGCCTGAACCCTCAACCCTAAGTTAAAACAGCAAAAACTAATCCCTGAACCCTCAAGCCTAACAAAGGGACCTTCTCCCACACGGCATTTGTAGGCTCTGAAGCTCTGCCTAATCCAAGTTTCCACGGCATTTTCCATGTTCTTTTCCATTTGATTCTCCATTATGGGGGGATAATGTCCCTATAAACCCTAAACCCTGAACCCTAACCCTGAACCCTAAACCTCAAACCGTAAAGAAGCTCTAAGCCAGGGTGCAAGTTCAAGGCTCGGAGTTGCCAAGGGCACTTTGCCAAAGCACTGCACATGGGACCCATCTCCACCTAGGGTTGGGGGGTTTAGGGGTTTAGGGATGGAAGCTACTATAGTATAGGGTTTAGGGTTCTGTTAAAGCACCTTCTACCCTCTGCGGCTTTGCGGGTTCAAGTTTAGGGTGGGGGGTTTAGGGCTTAGGGCTTAAGATTTCGTTTAAGGTTTAAGGACCAGGGTTGACTCATTGGTTTAGGACTACAGCTTTGTTAAGCCCATGTACTTGTCATCAATCAGCAGGATTGCAGATGTAGGGTCTAGGCGTTGCATCTGGAGATGCGAAAAATATAACCTTCTACACACCTGCGCATTAACCCCTGCGCATGCGGGTGGTAGATAAGATCATTTTTAGACTATAGAACAACTGGTGCATGAGTTCTTCCAAAGACTCGCCTCAAACCCTAGGCCCTAGACTCTAACCAGGAAACGTCAAACATATCTAGAAGAACAACCAAGCTGCACGAGTGATGGAGCAAGCCCGAAAGCTCACCTAAGATGCTAGGTTGTATTGGAATAATGGAGAATCAAATGGAAAAGAACATAGAACATGAAATGGAAACTGGGATTAAAGGGTAGTTTAGTCTTGGGGTTATATTGGGATAATGGAAACGAAAACGGAGACTACTATAACATGATAGGATATATATATATATTACAGGGGGTATATACCATCATGTTTTCTGCATGACGCATAGGTAGAGGTTGTCAAAAGCATTGTTCTTCTCGGGGGATCCCAAATATCAGCGCACGCATGATACTAGGGGCCCAAGAAGGACTCCTCAAACCCTAAACCCTAAACTGCCTTTCAGGTGTTTTGAGTTTTGAGATGCTGCTAGATGCCAGTAGACAGCTCCTACACAAAAACCCTCAATGAAAACAACATGTGGGTGGTTGTCAAAATTATGGTCCCCCCTTTTTGGGTACCCTAAATATTAGGTGCCGTATTATAATAGGGATCCAAAAAGGGACCGTAATGTTGACAACCACCCATGTCAATTTCTGGTGGGGTCTGTTTTAATCTTATTGACGTCAGTACTCGGCGCAGGCCCGCAAGAGCAGGGGAGTACGCTTGGTATTTCCCCTTCTTGCACAGTGCTGCCGCTCGAATTGCGATCATGAACTGCATGATCATCTAAGTGGTTTGTTTAACCTGTGTTTCAAGCACTTTCAGGATTGGCTTCAAATCTGAGTTGTGGAACAGCTCTGGGTGCCCGTGTGCGACGCAGTGTGTCTCGGTATCTTTGTCGTCTTCTTCTTCTTTTGCTTCTTTTCCTGCTGCTTCTGCATTCTGCTTCGTCTCCTGTTGTGGGTGTTGCTGTTTGTTGCTGCTGCCGCCGTTATGGATGTTCGGGCCACTGCAGCGAAGGGGCACACTCCAGGACGGTACTAGGCTGAAGGAAAGATGCCAGGCTTGCACCCAAAGGATCCTCTTCGAGAGCTTCGTCCTGGCTGTCTGCAACACAAGGCCATCCTATTTGAGAGGTCTTCAAGGGGCTTGGTACGACTACTTCTTGCAATCCACGTCCCCCGCCAGAGGCTTTACATTCCTTAGTCCATGCGGCGTTCTATCGGAATAGTTCAAGAAGTTTGGATCCCCAGTAAGGGTCATCTACGGCTGAAACTGTGGCTCTCCAGTACACTCCCCAAAATAGCGTAACCTACCTTTTCTGGGATGCCAACAAGGGAAACCTGATTTTGAGAATGCCCTCCTCTGCATGATCCACCTCCGGGAGGTTCTCGAGCGCCTCCTGGGTTTGCTTGAGAGTAAGTAAGTACACATGCTCCACCTCATATGTGAAAATATCTATGGGTATTTACTATGTGTGTACGCATACATATACCACTTGCCACAGAAACATGTACGCAAACGTACACAAGAATGTGTGTATATGCTATACATATACATATATGCCTGTGTAGATACATGATACATGTAGGCGCGCACATATACATGCATACCTGCATAATATATATATATATACACACACACAATCTCGCATACGTATACGCATACAGACACGTATACGAATACATGTACATATGCATTTGCGCGCACCTATTTGCAAGAATACTACTAGAAGGATTCTGAGACTTGTCATAGACCGTATTTTGTTTTCAATTCTGCCATAGTCTTGTTACACATATGTTCCCTGCATTAACTAGATTGGAGTGGATGAGTCCTTCATGACCTGCAGAGTGATGACACCTCCACCATCCGCACCGTAGTCCGGGCCATCGAGGACCTCAAAGACTTCAAAGATCTGGGAGCCACTAACCCCAAGCTTCTCAAAAAGGAGCATGTGGAAGTCCGGAGCTGTGAGCTTGGCCTCCTCATCCTCCTTGTCCAAGGCCTCCCAAGCCTTTCCCAGGCTACCAAAACGGCTCTCAAGCCACTCCTTGAAGTTGGTCAGAAGCCGCTCTGACTGTAAGGTGTATCGCTTCCTTTCTCGAGCTTCAAGGATGCTGGAGGCCCGGTCGAAGGCTGAGGTCTCCTCCCCCTCCTCTCCCTCCACCTCCTGTTCTTCCAGGTTTGGCAAAGGTAGATCCAAGTTGTTCCACTCAATCTGCAGAGACTCCACAGAGCAGCTACCACTCAATCCCTGTGCCAACAGCCTTAGCATCTCACAATCTAAGTTGCAGTCTGAGAAGGATAGGACCTTGATGTTCTGCACTGTTGGAAGGAGAAGGCCGATCAGGCTCATGGTAGCCCGGTCGAAGAGGAAGGACTTCACCATCAGGTTGGGGCCTTCCTTTGGGGGCTTTGGCTCCTCATGAAATCCCATCCCCAGGCTTCCACCCAGCAGGGCAGACATGTCCGGAGCCTTTACCAACATGCTGGGCCTTCTGCGGGCCTCGTGAGATGAGGGAAGCTGCGACTTGCTTGGGCTGCCTTCCCTGACCCGCTTCATCCGAAAGGCGGGGTGTACCGCAGCATTGACCATGGAGCACAGCTTCCGCAGGTCTGTTCCAAGCTGCCCAACCGGCTCAAAGCCCGAAGGCAGGCTCTCGGGGATGTCTAAGTGGTCATTAATGCCATACACCCAGATAGGAGGCCAGATCTTGGGCTCCGCCTCGTCCGCGAGGTACGCCCTAGTCATGGCTCGAAGCTGCGCGTCGCCGAACTACGCCCCTAGAGCCCGAAGAAGCAGCAAGGATGAGCAGATAACAGACACAGCAATGCTCACAGGGTAGACCCCAGATAGTGAAGTCAACGTAATACGGGCCCAAAAGGAAGTACCCAAAAAAAACAAAAAGCCACCTAGGTGCGTGCCACCCTCAGAAGCCTCTTTGATAGTAGAAGCCGGAACAAAGGAGAATATTGTCACACGAAAACTCGCACTGGGCTCACCTCCACAAAAGTCCAGTAGAATGTGGCCCGAAACCCGTGTTCATTACGTAATTTGAGCCTCTACGTTATCAAGCAGCAATCGGCACCTCGCAGAGGTGGAGCCCGGAGGCAACAGACGGTCTCCTTCATTAAAAAAAGGAAGTATGCATGGGACTTGCAAGATACAGAGGGATTCGAAGGGGATCATCACAACTACAGTCAGAAGTCCTCTTGAGCATTCCAAAGGCCTCTATTTCTAGGAGCTCCCACATCTGCTTTAGGGTTTAGGGCTTGGGGTTTTAAATGAACTCACGTTTGGAAGGCCCTTGCAATGTGGATTCCCCCTTTTGGAGTCGAATAGGGGCCCCGTTTTGGGCCCTCAGCCATCTGTGTCCATCATTTAGGGTCCCTCTACATCTCCAAACATGACAAAATCAGGACGGTCCCTAGTTCTTAGAAGCCCTCAACCCTATATGTGCAAACCCTATACACTCCCAGTTTCCATTTCATTGTCCAGATCCTCTCCATTTCACCTTCCACAAACCCCAACTTTTGGAAACCCTCAATCCTATACATCCCTATAGTATATCCCTATCCCTACACCCCTAAACCTTAAACCCCTAGACTCCAAATCCCTGAATCCAAGGCCCTATATGTTGGTTGTCAAAGTTATGGTCCCTTTTTGGATCCCTATTATAGGACGGCACCTAATATTCAGGGTACCCAAAAAGGGACTACTAGGGTATATATAACCCCGATATAATAGTTTCCATGTTCTTTTCCACTATCCCCATAGAACCCCAATATAGTCCCTATAATCCCTACATTTCGGGTACCCCAAAAGGGACTATCAGGGTATATATGGTAGTTTCCCAAAACAGGGGGACCCCAATATAGACCCCAATATACTATAGTCCCTATTATTGGGACCCCCAAAATGGTACCCCTAATTGTGGGAAATCCCCATATAACCTTACACAAAATTTTGACAACCACCCTCTAAACCCTAAACCCTAAACCCTAAACTATGGTAACCTGAAGGCTCTGTCCTTGGGAGAGGTCCGGGCCCGGTCCCGAGGGCGACCGCCAAGTCTGCGAGGTGCCTGTGTCATTCTGGGTTTAGGATTTAGGGCTTGGGGGTTAGGGGGTTTAGGGTTTAAGGGTTTTGGGGTTAAGGGCTTGGGGTTTTAGGGTTTAAGGCTATAAGGGTTTTGGGGCTTTGGGGTTTAAGGCCTTACGGGTTTAGGGTTTGAGGGTTTAAGGGTTTAGGATGTTTATGGTTTATGGTCCTGAGAATCTTCCTGGCAAAGCTAAATGTTCTGGTTATATAGCATCTGCATTCTTTACCCTGCTCGAGTGCTACCGCTTCCCTTGAAAAGCTGAATAGCCCAGAACCATACAAAACCCCAAGCATGCAAGATTCTATTTAGTTGCTTCTTTCAAAAGATTGGCCCTCTCACATATCCCAAGCCACCACAAGAGCTCCCACAAAAGGTCCCCATTTTTGGGGGGACCACCCCTACACCCCTGAACCCTAAACCCTAATCCCTAAACCCCTGAACCCCTAAACCTCTGAACCCGTGAACCCCAAACCCTTTGCGGCCCAGGGGCTTTGAGGCAGCGAAGAAGGCAGAGAGGGCGGCAAGGAAGGTGGCGTGCTGCTCATGCTGTCGCCAGCACTCCATCTGCGGTGCATTCTTGGGTCATTTATTCTACTGTGGTAGTTTACGTACATATATATATATACTTATAGTATATTATACAGCGTTATACATCTTGCATCGTATCTGATACGGGACTTTTTCGTGACTGAGCCACATAAGATTGTTTCATGTATTCTGCTTCTAGAGCACTACATCCGAAGAATAACATAATCTTACTCTGTTTTGGGCTCAACATTAGTGGGACCCTGGTATTCAGCCTACAAGTTTTGCTCTGCTGCCCCATGCTCTGCAGCACTTATTTGCGAGGGTGAAACCAGGAGGCCTTACCGCCCTGAATTGCCGGGCTCTGTGAATGAACCGCATAGTAAGTCCCCTTTTGGCCCCTGTCCAGAAGCTATCAGGTAACGCTCAGGGAGGTATCGGCGGCCCTTCGCACCATGGCCCCTTCGCTTCAACGCTTACTAAGAGGGTGACCGCGACAACAAAAGCTTCCTAAATGGGTTCAGGCCTGTCTGAACCAGTGATATGAACAATATTGTTGCTGTAATCTCCTATGACTGACAAAAAAAATTCGTGTCATGTGGATATTCTGCGCTCCGCTTACAGATTTTCTTCAGGCGGTTGTAGGAGCGTATTTCGAGAGGATCCGTACGTAGCCAGCTATGAAGTTTGATTTCATTAGTTTTGCAGCAGCAAAACATACCGCAGCCTTGCCCAGAAAGCCAAGCAGATTACAAACTTCCATAAAGCTGGGTCCATAGCCCCTTGATCAAAGACACAATAATACTTGAAACGTACCACAACTATGCCGCTTCTGCGGAGAAACCCAGCCTGTCCATCGGGCTGTACCTGGCCAGCAAGCCAAGTTGCATGGCGCATATGCAGACCTCACTGATAAGCCATCCCGAATGTTCTGTCTTTGGGGTTGTGAGAGGATGAGACTCTGAGAGGTACATGTACAATCGGAGCAGCTTGCTAGCAGCAGATTGCTGATCCTTGGTTGCACAAGACTGCCTCAAGGCAATGCTGCTGCTGGTTCCCTGCGAGCTGCGCGAGAAGCGGCGCTCTTCGAGCGGAGACATGGCCATCAACTATGCCGTCCGGTGCGGGCTACCAACATCACAATGCAACAAGCAGACTTGGACTTGGAAGAAGTTAAGGAGGCGGAGGGGTCATGATGCACAAGGATGTCACACTCAGCAACTTATCATGGATTGCCTCTGCCCCTTCCGGGGCCCGGATGCGGACTGGCAATCTTATATGAGCGAACAATGGACGCTGATTTTGCCTTCTCCTCGGCTTGTTGATTGCTGGATGGATGGGTTGTCAGGTAGCGCGAAATGGCTACTGACAGCGCAGTGGGCATGGTTTTCAAGCCTGCGGCACATCAATCAGAACTTCTCGACCTCCCCAGCAGAACAACCACGCCTGAAGCGAGCAAGATAAACTATAAGGTAAGGGGGACCCTAATATAGACTCCAAAATACTGTAATCCTTGTCATTGCCAGCCCAAAAGGGTACCCCTAGTTTGGGGAAACCCCCCCTAAGCAGAGGCAACGCCTGCCAGTCGTCAAGCGCTTTTCATTTCTTTGACGCCGAGGCCGGCCTCTGCCCGCACCTTGCCCTGTACTTTGCAAGCCGCTGTTGCATGCGTGAAACGAACTGCGCAGCTGGCAGCAGAAGCTTAGTAGGGAATAAGGGAATATGTTAGGGTTTATATAGGGATAATGGAAAAGAAAATGGAAACTACTACAGTGTATATAATGGGGTTAGAGTAGGGTGTCAATCTTACATTCTGAGTACATCTGCGTCAGTGGCGCAATGCTTCTGGCCAGCTTTTGGAAAGGACTTGATGCCTTCCATGTGCCTAGCCTGTCCTGCACCTCACGGATGCATCAGGCCTCAGCACAAGTAAGCATTCTGACTATTCTATACCTTTCTAGACTTTCCATGTTCTTTTCCATTATCCCCTACATAACCCCTAAAAAGTAGTTTCCAGTTTCTTTTCCATTATGCCATATACAACCCCTAAAAGGTACTTTACACTCGCACTTCCATTTCATTCTGGATCCCTAGGCTGCGCTTGGGCCCAGGCACGACTAACTTCGCTGAAGCTCCGGCGCCTGGCACAGGCAAAGACATCTTTTTGCCTCTTGGATCTATAGTCCCCCTTAAGTGGATAGAATATGGGGTATATGAGGATCTATTCCCAAAGCCAAATTCTATCTACTTAAGGGGGACTATATACGGTTCCTGAAACCAAGATTCGCCCTGTATACCCCCCAAAAATGACCCAAAATGTTGTGTTGAGAGGCCCCCTTTAACATGTAAACTTAGCAACCATTCCACCGCAATCTCCTCAAGCCACTGTGCATTTCCTCCCTTACCTTGCTTCTGTAAGTAGGGAATAGGGGAATCTTATCCCTATATAATCCCTGCATAATATATTCCCCCATTGCCTACTATAACCCCAATACATACCCTAGTGGGATGGCATATTTCCATCTTCTTTCCCTTATCCCAAAATCACCCCACTGACCCTAAACCCTAAATCCTAAACCCTATCTCCGAGTGCTAAACCCCAGTAAGTTATCCATGGTGCACCAAACGGCCACTGAGTCTGGGGCAGACTGCAATCTGCTTTAGGTCTGCTTCTTGGTCATGTCTAGGAACCTAAGAAACCATGTAGCCAAGTGGGTTGGGTTGGGGGTTCAGGGTTTAGGGTCTAGGGTTTAGGGTTCAGGGCTTAGGATTCAGGATTTCGGGTTCTCGCGTTTGGCCCTTTCAGGGA